GAGAGAGAGAGAGAGAGAGCGGTGTCCTTGAGGTGTGGGTGAACATGAATAAAAGGTGTTATACTTCTTTTATGAACATGCATTCTTCACATCTCCTGTTATTCTGCCTCATAGCTCCACTGCTGGCACACACGCGCCAATGCGAGCGACATCATTAGTGGTTGTTTGTTTGTTTGTTTTCTTTACCTGGCTCGGTGAAGTTCAGGAGGGAGCAGGAGTACGGATCCTCTCTGTCCTCCTCCGGAATGGGACACCCATGTTCGCCCACGATGAACTTCACCCCCACTCTTTAAAAAAAGTAAAGCACGTAAAAATAAAAACACTACAACATATATCTTTCTCTTTTTTTGTTGTGTGTTGTGTGTGTGTATGCAATATTAGGGGGCTGCAAGATTTTTCTAAAGCTTGTCCATCTATCCACCCTGCGTTGCCATGGTTACCGAGGGTTGCTTAAAGGCCATCACACCTTATCTGTGCTCAGATCGCTGAATGAGAAGGAAATGGACAAAAAAAATAAGAGAGAAAGAAAGAGAGAGCGAGAGAAAGAGAGAGAGAGAACAATATTGGCCGCTGGTCAGGTAAAAGATAAAGAAAAGGAAGAAAGAAAAGAGGTTTGATGGGGTAGTCAGTTATTTGCTGCCAGCTGCAGGCTTTATTTCCACTATACGAATCTGGCCTCGGAAACCCCCAAAGAAAAGAAAGAAAAAAACCCAACAAAGAAAAGAAAGAAGTGGTGAAGTTTGGCTGCGCTGACCTGTGCTGGAAGTGGGGGTGATTTCGGAGGTAGCCCAGCCAGGTCTCCCTTATCGCTTGTCGCAGTTCATAATGGTGTCTCGCTGACAGCACTCCCACCAAAACTTCATAGAAAGGTTCATCTGCGTCGTAACACACACACACACACACACAGAGAGACAGAGAGAGAGAGAGAGAGAGGATGTCACTTCCTTTGCACCCTCAGTGATGATGAGCTGTTTGATGTGAGGAGGTGAAATATAACAATATAATAAGGCTGATAAATAAATATGCTTGATCCTGACAGCAATGACTTACTGATGCCTCCTGTAACTGACCTCGTCTTCATTCAATGCATCAAGGTGTTAGATTTAAAAAACAAAAACCCTCCACTCTCTCTCTCTTTCTCTCTTTACACCCCTTTTCTTATAATCTAGTTATAAAGCATTTGAACGCAGCACAGAGCTCTAACAAGGCAGATGCTCAGCTCGCTTCAGTCTTTTTCCAGACATTAGACCATCCCAGCAACGCCCAACCACAACTGTGTTACAGTCACATTATTTCCCACTAAAACACACACACACACACACACACACATATATATATTATATATATATATATTATACACACACACTCGAGTGAGCATAAACTACCTGTTCACACACAAACTCAACAACCACAGCAGAGACACACCGGAGCAAAGTTAACCAGCAGCTCGGATATTAAAAGAAAGAAAAGTTGCTTTGGAGGAGGGTTGAGGCTACAACACACACACACACAC